AAAACAAAACACTCGTCAAAAAAAAAAAAAAAAAAAAAAAAAAAAAGAAAAAGAAAAAATAAGTTTAAAGAGACTTTGAAAATGTTGCAGGTAATAACCTAATTTTACAGGTGGACAAACTGAGGTGCATAATAAAATAAAGTGACCCCTTTCTAAGTCATAAAGCTTATTTTTGGCAGTCAGGACAATCATGGGGCCTGTTGCTCTGGATTATTTCCAGATCAGTGCTTTTCACACAGGAGGGAGGCACACAGCGTTGTGCCAAGAGTGCAAGGACTCACGGCAAAACGAGGTTAACTCAGTAATAATTTTACTTGCAGTTTTAATTATGGGGAAAAGGTGTTGTTTGCATGAAAACAAAGAGCTCTGTTATATGCCTACATTTGTGTTACAAACATGGGATTCACAGAAAGGGCAAGATGAGGCAGGCAGCTCCAGGATTTTCTTAGCACCTTATTGTTTCCCTCTGCTGTTGGGACCTTTCTGAGAAAGAGTTAGAAAAACTATGTAGCAACTCTTTCTTCTTTTCTTCTTTCGGCTATTGTCCTCATATATTTTGTGGAGTGACATGCAAAAATTGGTTTTGTTTCCACTCTAGGCTATTTGTTCTGTGAATCTTCTCTTTTGCCCCTTGTTGTAATTAAGTGCACTGTATTATGAATTTCAAATACCCTATTTATTGCTGGATTATAGAACAAATCAGAGTGTTTAACGGTAAACTCTGTGTATTGACTCCTCTACAAGGATGTGAGTCCTTCATGGGCAGGGTCTGGGTCCAATTTATACTTGAATCCCAGCAGCTGTCATAGTACCTTTGCTCATTGCATGAAGTGGTGAAAAGTGTGGGGAGTAGCTCCTCTGATTCTTCCCTCCTCCTTGGATAGTGTAAGACAGGACTTCTTTGGTAGCTACGGCCACATGATTAGGCCCAGCTAATGAAACGAGAGAAAGAAACATATATCCCTTCTAAAGCTGAAGCAGTGAAAGGTCTTAGATGACCCTCTAGCTTTTTCATTTCTGCTTTATTGACTTTGGAGGTCTCACATTGAGATGGCAGAGCTACAAGAAGAAAACAGGATGACTACTCTGGGGAGTTGCTCCATAGAAGAGGATTTTGCCTAAGCAGGATATAAACTTTTGCTGTATTCAGCCACAAAGACCATATAGTTTATTTCCCCAATCACAGCTAGTCTTTCTTGGCTAATATGGGTGATCATATATGACTAATATTGTGGAGTTGCATGGACAGCCTAGATTCTACAGATGCATTTTCTTGTTATGTTCCATTTTCTTACTTGATGTAACCTCACTTAGACCTTGAGACTTCTGTAGGAGAAAGCAAAACAAGTTGTTAAACTCTGCAGGGGGCATGAAAACAACTGGGCAGAAGTCATCACCCAATGGACTAAGGCCATTTGAAAGTAATGAATATCCCCAGCAGATGGGAAGGTACCATATCTCACCCAGGAGTTGTTGTACCTTTGACACTATAGGGAAATTTATAGCCCAAGTGGTTCACCTTCTCCACCTTGGCACACACTAATTTTATGTAACTGGGCTCTAGAGAGTACAGGGAGACATCGGTTGACTCAATGACTTTCCACTCCTTAGGTACAAATTTTACTTTGATTTTGTGTGATTGGCAGCTTAATGAATTTGTTGAAGATGTATATTTATCTTGTATACTCACATTGCGATCATGCATATGCAATATTTGCAGATTATTCCTTGTAACTTTAAAATAATTCAGAAGACAATTGGAGTTTCCAACTGGCCTAGTTTTTTCCCCCTCCATTTTTAAATTGTATGAATTCTTATTTATGTTTAATCATTGTGCATCTCTATAGTGCACGATAAAGAGTTTTTTTTTTTAATTTGTTTTTTGCTATAGGGTGCAGAGAGAGATAGAAAGAGAGAGAAAATGAGAAATCAGCCCCTTCCCCCCCCAGGGGGATAGCCATGCTGCAATCTCTTCTCCTCCATTCTCATCTTGGGATTTTGGGCACACATGCGCATGTACACAGCATGATATTCAGGCTGCCAGGTCCAGGTCTTGAACTGCATAGTCAGCCAGGTGGAATCCAATACCTTAACCTTCATGCCACCTGATGGCCCATACAATATGGTTTTTCAAAGGGTGCTTGCAGTATGTGACAATCCAGTCAAGGATAGTACCACATACATTATTTTCAATAGAGGACTTTAAATTGAACTCGCAGATGGCATAATGGTTACATTGCTGGACTCCTATGGAGTTGACTATGGTTTGAGTCCTGGACTGGTGAATTAAAATTCATGACAGGCACATGTGCATGCATGCCCCAAATCCTGAGAGAATAGAGGCATTGGAGTGTGGCTGTGCACCTACCGGGGGGGTGATTTTTCGCTTTCTCTCTCTGTCTCTCCGGCGAGCACATGCACCCTATGTCTGTGTTTGTTAAGTAATTCTTCCCTTTGCTCCTTCCACTCACGCTCAACCATTCACTTCCCTCCCTTAGAGTCTCTGGTATCTATGATTATCTTCCCTACTGTCATATCATTGGATCTTTTGCTAATATAATTTCTGAGACTATTTTGACATCATTAACAGAGGTTTTTCTTTTCTTCTTAAACTTGTCAGAGGGCATGCATGCTTTCCAGAGAGAGAGAGAAAGAGAGGCAGGGGAAGAGAGAAGTGAGAAAGCACCAATTCCTCTAATGGGTGATGATCACATCGTAATCCCTTCTTTTCCATTCCTCCTTTGTTGGGATTTTGGGAACATAAACACATGTGCCCAGCATATTTCTTAAACTGATGAGTCTGGAATTTGAACCATGCAGTTGGCCATGTAGGATCAGCCCCTTAGCTGCCATGCCACTGGCTGTCCAGACAGAGGTTTTTATTCTGGTTAAATCTCAGGCAAGGTATTTCTCCTCTCAGTACATGCATTCCCTCTCTGAAAAATGAAAATATACTTACTCTTTGGGTTGTGTTGAGATTAGAGGGAATGTTTGAGAACGATGTGCTTCCATATTTAGCAAGTTTTAAGTATTTTATAAACAATAATTGTAGGGCTAGCTGGTGGCAGGATGGTTAAGACATCTGGATTCCACATACACATTTTGAACTCTGGACCTGGCAGTTTGGAAACCATACTGGGGACATCTGCCTGGGTGCCCAAAATCCCAAGAGAAAAATGGAGGAGATGGGATTTCAGCATGCCATCTCTCTTAGGGGTGTGCCTTCTCACTTTATCTCTCTCTGTCTCTGATAACTACACACATCCTATAGAAAACATTAAAAAAAAGGAATAATTGCTAATAAGTATGTACTATAGTCAGGTAAAACTTTACTGTTTAAAAATATTTGATATGTTTTAAAATTCCATTTAACTACCATGTGGCTCTTTAAGGTAGGTGAAATTAATTTTGTAGCAGAAGAAAGTTGGGCTCAGTTATGGCATAGTGATTTCTGCAAGATCACAGCTAGAATGGGGCAGAGCTGAGACCAAACCAAACCCAATTCTCATCTTGGTGTTAGAGCTGGGAGATTCTTTAAAACAGTGGTTCAGGGCAGCTGGGATCAATAATGTGCCTGGTGGAAAGTAGGAGTTAAACAAATGGTCACTACCATTTTTTAAATAGAAACCAATGATCATTAATTATATCCCCGCTTATCTATCAATATTTTAAAATGATAAATAATCAGGTACCCTTTGGTTCCATCCAAATGATGTTTACAAATAAAACTGATATGTCATTTGGACCACACTATGTAAACCACTAGGGATAATTAAAAGATTTGAGCAAGAGGAATGAATTAGTAAAAAGCCATCCTGTCTTGTCTTGTTTTGTCTTTTCTTTTCTTTTCTTCCTTTCTTATCTTTTCTTCCTTTCTCTTCTCTTTTTTCTCTTCTCTTTTCTCTTCTCTTTTCTCTTCTCTTCTCTTCTCTTCTCTTCTCTTCTCTTCTCTTCTCTTCTCTTCTCTCTTCCCTTCTCTTCTTCTCTTTTTTCTTTTCTTTTCTTTCCTTTTCTCTCTCTTTTCTCTTTTTTTTTTCAAATGGCCAGAGAGAAAGGAAGAGAGAAGGAAAGAGAAAGGAAAAGATAGAACACCCTTCAATGAGGCTACAATTCTTTTTCTACCATTTCTCCATCAGGATTTTGGGCATGAACATACATGCCAGTGTGTTTTTCAAGACACTCAGGCTGGGATTCCAACCTTGGTAAGCTATGCGGAATCTGGCTCCCTACACACTGTGCTTAACACTGTGCTATGGGGCCACTATTCTATGATAGCTCCAATTCTATCTTATACACATAGTTTGTGTATGATCCCACTGGATCAGAAGGCCATTTTCTGTATATTAAAATATTAGAAAAAAATATGGCCTTTTCTTGGATATAAGAAAAGAACCAGAGCTTTTTACTTTAAAGATAAGATATATCTCATATGCCTCTGTTCCTTCAAGATGCCAGAGAGTCACAATGCTAGCTTAGTTTAGGATGGGAGATAATTGTACATGTCAATATTTATACTATCCCAGCACTCAAATTAACTCCTCTAATGATCAAGCTGAAAAACACACCCCCCTTGTAACCTGCTCGCCTGCGTACAACATTCTTCTGATATAGTTATTCATTTCAATTAATGGGAAAGCAGAGGGGGTTGAGCTGCCCATCCATTTGGCAAAGGATTTTGGAATAGGATCAAAGATGGTTTTATTTCACTAGGGTCCCTAGTGAGCTGTTAATTACTTGGGTTTCAAATCTGATGGCATTTAAAATAGAATATAGAATTACACCTGTGTTTGGGGGTCAGTTTGTCTTCTGATATGAAGGTAGATTTGTGGCAGGAAGGAACAGGAGGAAATGAAGTTAGTTTTCTTCCTGTGTTTGATGGGGAAAGGTCTTTGTTGCAGAAATATTCCTCAGGGCTTTGCATACTGCGTTAAACCAATAGGGAAAATTATGTTTCAGGAACTTCGAGTAAAAGCAGACCTCCAATTATCCCTCAAGCAGATTAAAATATGTAATCTTAGACTTGTTAATATGAAATATGACTTGCATTCTTACATAATATTTTTATTTTCTGGTTTTGAGTATTTAAGGTGAATTGCAAACCAGTTTAATAGGAAACTGAAAGTAGAATGCACATTTCAGACTTCAGTACTCTAATATTTATCTAGAACATTTTTAAGCTTTAAATTTACTAAGGATAACCATTGTATTTGTGTATCAATTTACACTTGTCAGAGGGAGATATCTTATTTTGCAATACTTCACTTGCTCTCTAATCTCCAAACACATCCATCTACTTCTGTACTTTAAACTTTATAGAAAAGCTCATGGTCTTTCTGGCCTAGGGGTGCTTGCTCTCTACTCCATTGTCATTTCATAGCTGTGTGTCTGTCTACTCTTCAGGTTTCAACTCCAATTTCACTTCCTCCAAGAGGTTTTCTATCCCACTGATTGCCTCCTCACTGTATTTATTCCTTCAAAACACTAACCACGGTTTGTATGTAGTTAATTCATTATTTTATGTCACAATATGTGGTCCTTCATGCCCATGAGAACAGCCAGAGGCTTGAGCTAGCTCATATCCCTGTGGCTTTAGTACTTAGCACCATATTTGCTATGGTCTGAGCAACTCATATTTATTTAGTAAATGAAGGAACAACTGGATGGCTGAACAAACTATGGCCAAACTTTCCCTGTTCATACAGCATGGATGATACCATTTGGCGAGTATGAAATTCAGGTTCAGTTCTTATCATTCAAAATATAATTTTATGAAACTGGACAATAACTGAAAAACTGCAGCGTCATTGAAACTGTGTGTATAGATGCCACTATTTTGGCTGGAGAATATTTTAACCACATGGTGTATCTTGCAGCTGAGTTGCTGATATGGTAAAACTGCTGTAGCTTTTCTTGCCACTTTATTGTGAGTGTGGATTTGTGTTTCTACTCTCTCTTAGATCTCTCCTCTTACACTCTATCTCCCTTTTCCTTTCATACCCTGCTTTTTGTCTCTATTTCCACTTCACAGAAACTGCTGACAGTTTTCTCATGGGTTAGCTAAGAAATAAATACAAGCTATCTTTCTTTTATCAAATTCATAATGGTTTTTACTAGCAGAGCTGATGGCAATGAAATAAAACTGACAATGACTAAAACTACTCAGGTAGAATTTGTTATCGGCTAAAAAAATGATGGCAAAATTAAATCTTCCTGACAAAATTTAGATGCGTAAAATCTGATCTGGGAAAATTGAACTTTGTGATAATAAAGAAAACTCAAAGTGGCAGAAGCTATAACTGCTAAAATTGGATATGGCTTTAAAAACTTAATTTAAAATGTTTTTATGAAATTTCTAAGGAAAAGAATTGATGCTGACCAGATAATACCAGTAAAATGAAAATAATGACAAGATAAAAGCATTTGCATTGTTTAATCAAGAGACAGTAAGGCTATGTGAAACAAAATCAATAAATCTTAAAATAGAGGAAGGCTATTTATCCTGCTGAAGACAGATATCAGTTCTCCTTTCCCATTGATGAAAGGTCTGAGGAGAATACAGCATTGAGCTTAGAACGAATTTCTTACCCAAAAGTGACTGTGAGACCCTAGGATGAATTTCTAGAAACTGGAGTATGTATGTGTGTGTGTGTTGGGGGAGGCGGGGGAGAAGGCTGGCAAGTATTAGGGAGCCTTCTCTGAAGTTTCTTGAAGAGAGTAGTAAACAACTATTCTGATGTGGTTGAATCACATTGTTTTCTGACTGAAGACATAAGATGAATTAAGAGTGTTTGTCCACTCAAGGACTCCTGTAAGACCCTATTTATCATTCTAAGACATTTTGTTGTTCTGTTTTGTCCTGTGGTAAGAAACTGAAATTACAGTTTAGAAAATGGAATGATAGGGCTTTATTGAGAAGTTGTTTTATAGGTTTAGTACTAAAACTATAGGTTTTGTTTAGATGCTTTAAACATTATTTGTTCTTATGATTTCTGTTATATAGTTTCAATATGTTTTAGAGATTAGTTTTATGTACATGGAACTTTTTGAACAAAATGATCTAAAGTTTGAATAACATAAGCTTTCACTTCAAAGAATCTAAAGGTTGAGGAGATAAAAATGATTTTTTGTGACTGAAAATGTAATTATTCCTATTTTAATTTTTGTATTGCCAGAGGGTGCATGTGTGCTCATCAGAAAGAGATAGAAAGAACTTCCCAGTGGGACATGGTCATGCCATAGCCCCTTTTTCTGTCCAAAATCTTGACAGGATGGAGAAATGGAGAAAAAGAGACTTCGGTGTAATTATATAGCTTATTGTGCTAATATAACATGTGTTAAGAATATTTGTCTTGTATTTCAAAAACTCCAGGATTGCAGAAGAACAGAATATATGTCACTATTGATATACACATGTTATGGTACCACACTAGAAGTCAATGAATATTTTTCTCCATGTTTAATGTAGGAAATAGTAACAGATCTCATTAAAGAAATAACAACTTTTGGGGCCAGCAGGTGGCATGGTGGTTGAGGCGCTAGACTTCCCACGTAACCAACTATGGGTCAAGTCCCAGACCTGTCGGCTTGCTTTTCCTCTCTCTCTCTGTTTCCCTCTGGTGAACACATGTGAAATAGTAATAATAACAAATAAAATAATATAAATAATAAAAAATACTAGCTATTGTGAGGATGATGCTGGTAAACAAGAAAATCTACTTGGGCTGGATTAAACTATTAGTGTGTTTTGTTGAAGATTAGGAATTACTAAAGAACCGTATTTATTTATTTATTTATTTATTTATTTATTTTGGAGAGATTTTTGTTATAGGGTGCATGCACTCGCCAGAAAGACAGAGAGAGACAGAAAGCAAAAAGTCATCCCCCAGGGGGTTGGCCACCCCCAAATCCCTTCTCCTCCATTCTCCTCTCGGGATCTTGGGCACACACGTACATGTGCCCAGCTTGAGTTTAAGCCACCAGGTCTGAGACTTGAACCGCAGTTGGCTACATGAGAGTCCAGAGACATAGCCGTTGCAAAAACTGCTGGTCCCAAATATTTTATGCTTTTTAAAAAGAAAGTGGATTGTCATTATTTGTTTTTTTTAAAATGCATAATTGAGTAGATTATTTATTTATTTTTTTGTTTAATAATATTACCATTTAGACCTTAAAGCCATAACAAAGACTTCTATCTATTTGGCAAAAAATACCTGTCCTTCAGGCAAATATCCAGAAGGGACAGGTTTGCCAATCTAAACTTCTAAATTGACGGTCTCTACCATAACACATTTTTCCCTCAGCACTCTTTGAATAATTAGGCTTGAAGAAAAAATAAAGAATTGACCTTAAACAAGATGCTTTAGTACTATGTATTCTTTTTTTAAGTTACGGGCCTGGCAGAGGCTGGGATTATCAAGCCAGTTTTGTGTAACATTTGGAATGTGGGCTGCTAAAAGATCAGTTTATTATAGACATCTAAACCAAATGTGAATGTCTAAGCTATTTGCACTGGTCAAATGAAATGGTTTTATCTGTACTTCTCGCTGAATAGACTGTTTCTTAATCTTCATATGTACATTGTTTAAAGATAGGGTTTTTTGCATACAAAAAACAATGTTGACAAGTAAATCTAATATCGATAGGATTATGGCCTATGAATATTTATGACAACTAAGCACCTTTGTATGGATTTCCTGTTGTCTCCTGCAGCACTCTACTCTCTGGGAAATTTCAGCATGGAGAGAAAGAAAGTTTTACCGCCAATTTGTGCCTGAAACGCAAGATGAACAGACGTCTGCTGCATTAAAAAAGGACATAGGCATGCATTAAATCCCTTATGTCTTACTTTTTAATGATGCAATTGTGAATTATGTTCTTGTTGCATTTGTAATTAGAGGCTGCAGCAGATGGTGAAGACTTATTTTAAAGTGATGTGTCTATTAAAATAAGCCACACTGCCAAATGATTGTTCACTGTAACGGCATCTTTACGCCCCTGAAACACTCCGATTCTTTGTTGATGTGCAGTTGATTACCACAGCTGATTACATATGTGCACATATTTGCTCGGAAATGTATCAGAGATATTTGATATGTGTAATACTTTATTTTAAAGTGTGTGTTATCACAATTATAGATAATGAAGCTTTCAATGAATTATTCAGTCATACCATCTACAAAGGGAATGCACTGATTTCCCTTTTCAATAAAATTAGACATGAATCTTTCTAAACTATCGAGGTTGATTCTCCCCACACAGTGGGAGAAACATTGACTGAAGGGTGGGAAGTTTCTGTGTGGTGAAAGATTTTATTTTCCACATTCTTGATAAGAGTGGATTTAACAGGGTAAATGGTCCATAGATATTTGTGGTGTCTCTGGTGAAAAGTGGGGATGGAGGGAGAAAGGCACTAAGGGCTTGGGTAAAAATGAAGTATAGTGGGACCAGCTGGTTGGCATGGTGGTTATGGTGGTTGAATCTCACATAGCTGACTATATTGTTTGAGTTCCAGATCTGGCATCTTGAAAAACATGCCAGGTGTGTGTATGTGTGCTGAGAGGAGAATGGACAGGAAGGGACTACGGCATGGTCATCCCCTCTGGGGAGTGCTGTCTCACTTTCTCTTTCTCTCTTTCTGTCTCTCTTCAGCAAGCACATGTATCCTAGAGCAAATTAAAAAAATGGATTAAAGTAAGTCGTTATATTGATGGTATATATTAGAATAGGTTGAGCTGTGATAACTAACAACACCTAAACCTTACAATAATGAAGATCATTTCTCTTTCTGGCTACATGCCTGTCATGGATCAAAAATCAGGCTGATGGAGAGTACAGTCTTCTATACTCACCTTCTAATAGGAAAAGAATATTGTGATATACATAATGAGTTTTAAAAACTTCTTTATGACTTTCAAAGCTTCTATACGAGTTTCAAAAACTTCTTTCTGAGTCATATGACATTTCTATCCATATTTAATTTGCCAGAGCAAGTCATGTGATGAAACCTCATATTAAGAGGGTAGAAAAACACAATCCTTTGTGCTTCAAAAAATTAAATGACAACAGTAATTTACTGCAAGGCTATGTGCCCTTGGGATAGTTTCTTTACCATCTAACATGACTGCTCCATTTCTTTCTTTTTAGAGTTTTGCTATAGGGTGCATGCATTAGCCAAAAAGAGACAGAGAGCTAGGGGAAGTGAGAAATAATCCCCCAGAGGGGATGGTCACACCACAATCCCTTCTCCTCCATTCTCATCCTGGGATTTTTGGACATGGACTTACACTTGTCCAGCATGTTTTTTAAGCCACTGGGTCAGAACTCAAACCACAAAGTCAGCCATGTGAAATCCAGCGCTTTAACCACCATGCCACCTGCTGATCCATAACTGCTCCATTTCTAACATCCTGTTCCTGAAATATCAGATTGGTGCTTCCGTGTTTAACAATGTGTATGAAGACCTAGAAAAAGGTGCATGTTCCCACTCATGTACAGAAGCTAAAAAATTGACCTCATAGGAAGAGAGAGTAGAATAGTAGTTACTCTAAGATGAGAAGGGTAGACAGGAGGAGGAGATAGGGAGATATTGGTTAATGAGCTAAAAAATACTGTTAGTTGTATGCCCAAGTTCCCAGGAGGGGACTGGAGGAGAAGGGACTGTGACGTGGCAATCCTCTCTGGTAGATGTGGAGGAGAAGGGACTGTGATGTGGCAATCCCCTCTGGTAGATGATTTCTCACTTTCTCTCTCACTGTCTCTGTCTCTCTCTATTCAGAGATTGCATGCACCCTAAAGCAAAATCTTCTTTTTTTATAAAAAAGAGGTGTAATGCAAAAATAAGAATTCCAATGTTAATTGAATGTGGGAATCTTCGAATAAACAAAATTATACAAATTTCTTTACTTTTGCATCTTTTAATATGTTAATGTGACTATCTACAAGGCTACTGAGGCATGGAGGTATCTCTCAATTCCAGAGAAGTTCTGTTTCAGGGAGCTTCCTGTGGAATGGTGTTCTGTGGGAACACGTATGGGCAACACTGCTTAGGTCTCTCCAGTTGTGCCCAGTTGTAGATTTGGTTATCATTTAGTTTCTGGGTTGGTGAACGCATTGATGTCCGGGACAATGGTGCGTCTGGAGAGATATGGAAGTTCTGCAGCCTCCAATATCTTGTCATATGCATCTTTTCCGTGTGACTGTTCCTAAGTTATATCCTTTATAATAAACTGGCAAACAGTATTCTGAGTTCTGTGAGCTGTTCCAGCAAATATCAAATCTGACAAGGGGATCATGGGAAGCCCTAAGTTATAGCTGGCTGGTCAGGAGTCCCCAGGGCTGGGAACCTGCAGTTAGCGTAATGGCTATGTCGCTGGACTCCCACGTAGTCGACCGCGGTTCACGTCCCGGACCCGGTGGCTTAAAACTCACGCCGGGCGCGTGTGCGTGCGTGCCCAAGATCCCAAGAGGAGAATGGAGGAGAAGGGATTGCGGCGTGACCATCCCCCCTGGGGGGTGATTTCTCGCTTTCTGTCTCTATGTCTCTCTCTGTCTGTCTGGCGAGCGCACGCGCCCTACAGTGAAAATCTCTCAAAAAAAAAAAAAAAAAAAAAAGGAGTCCCCAGGGCTTGTGATTGGCATCTGAAGTAGGGGCAGTCCTGTGGCACCAGATCCCTCTAACTAGTGAGGTCTGATGCTAAATCCAGATGGATAGTGTCAGAATTGAATTGAATTGTTGGGTAGCAAGTCGGTATCCAGAGACTCAGAGAACTGGTTATTTATGTTGGAAAGTGCTGAAGAATTGGTGTTGGTTATCATGTGGAAGGAAGGTTATCATGTGTACAGTCAAGCCCTCTCCCCCAGCTCTTATTCTCTCCTTAGCCTGGAAAGGTAAAAACATGATTTTGATATATGAGGTGAACAGAGGAGAAATTTTGTGACAGAAAAATTAGGTGTCTTTTGGAGATATGAATCAGTATGAGAGGGCTGAGCTAGGACTGGCAGTTCTAGGATGGGAAATGCTCTATGCCATAATGGCACACTCAAGACCTAAGTGTGCAATTTTTACTATTGCATAATTTGCATACATAAAACACTTAGAATCAATGGAACTTCCACAGACGCTGTGTTTGTTATTATTACTATCTAGCTACTAAAATAATAGCAGTAATAAAAATAGATGAATAGTCTTGACTACTTTGTACTAAACACTGTGCTAGGTTAATGGATGACTTAATTTATTTCTTAAAAACCCTATGAGATATTACTTTATTATTGTTCCCATTTTATAGATGAGAATACTCTGTTTCAGATAGATTAAGTATATTTGCCAATGTCATATGGCTAATAAGATGCAAAGTTAAAATGAGATGAACTGAGGCAATTTGACTGTTTTTAACCACTCTGTCATTATAAGAATTATTCCTTACACTCACTAGTGTTTTATGGTCTTTAATGCACTTTTGTATAGACTATATATCATTCGTTCTCCACAGCAACACTCTGTCAGATGCTATGTTCTCCATTTTTAGAGGCCATGAAATTGAAATTGAGTCTTAAATAATTAGTTCAATATTTTATTAAAAACAGGCATTTTGAGTGCTGATCTGTTCTTTTACTATGACTCATTTTGTTTTTTTCCCCACTTTAATTTTTCTCTAGCTTTCTTTTTTATGATTTCCTTCTTCCTTATCACTCCATTCTAAAATATGAATTTGTAGCATGTGAATAACTAGAAAATTATTTCTTGGGATAGTCACAAAAAAGTTCAGAGAAATATTGATATAAACTGGAATTGGTATATTGGGTTGCCTTAGCGCCAAATAAGCTAATGCAACTGCCACTGCATTTCATTCAGTGTAATAAATCTTCACCCAATACATTCTGCATACCAGGTATTTAGAACAAAGCACATCATGCACACACACACACACACATACATTCCAACCCAAGATCGAAAGATCCAGGCTATGCAAACCCTGTTGGATGAGCACTACGCAGGGCTAGAACAGCCAGAATCTTTGTGTTGTTTTCCTCTGCTCTCCTTCAAAACTTCCCCTTCGTTAGTCTTTCTGCAAGAAACAAAAATAGAGAGAACACAGCCACAGGGAAATAAGACTGGGAAAAGGAAAGAGATCACAGAAAACTGTGAAAGAGAAAGGGCAATTGACCTGCATGAATGTGGTTCTCTGAGTGGAATTTCAGCTCTCTTTCACCTATGCTGGCCAAATGCTAATGTATGCTGGAGGAAACCATATGAAGCCATAGGGAATGACTTCACCACATTCTGCACGGAGATGAAGAGTATCTTGAGTGTAATAGCGAGCAGCTGTCTTTTTGCTCAAATGACAACATAAAAGGAGGAGAGGCCTGGAATTTCAGCATTTGCCACCAACGTTTAATGCAGGGTTAAGTGGCAGCTGTTCTCTGTCCTGGGTCAGGAAATGTGTGGAGGGGCAGGACAGCACTGGTGAGCCTAGTCAAGCTGCAACGTTCAGGAAACTAAAGAGCCTGACTGTTTTATGGTTATGGTTTCTTCAGAGTTCTATTCTTTTGCTTGAATAATAGGTTAAATGACTGCCATGATGAACAGTTATTTAAGCAATGCTGAATCCAGGATCATAGCAGTCAGATGGTTTGGAAGATTCGTTTTATTTGAGTTGATCAATGTTAGTAAGAAATTGATTTTCAATGCCTACTTTAGCATGCGTTCATTCTCCAGGCAGTGTCTTTGTCTAAGACACACTTTGTGTAAGCAAGTGGGGCTCTAAAAGTTTCTGAGGGCCCTGGGGGGTCTATAGGAGGATTCTCTCATAATATTTTTGCTTAGAATAATAATGAATCTGCCTCTGTCCTTGGCAGAAAGGATTAACTTCAGGTACTGAAACACACTCATGCCTTCATGAATAGAAACAGTTGAACCAGTACTCTTACTGAAATGATAGCGTTTGGTGGGATGAGGTAGCCTTTAGCCTGTCTGTACTCTTTAAGTCGATGACCATTGTATTTTCTTTAGAAGGTGG